CGCGGTGTCTTACACTGTGGGCGGGCTCTACGGCTGCCCTCCACTGTTGCTGGATCCGCCCACCGCGTTCTGATGATGGCGGCGGTTTGATGCGCGAACGGGATAAAGAGCCCGAGCAGAGGAGCAGCACATAAACAAGCCCGGTTCTCCGGACAGCCGCTGTCCCAGCACTCCAGCGAACAGCGGGACGGGACAGAGGACACTTCGGGGAACTCGTACATGTGCACGGGGAGGCTGAACGGTCCCTTACGGCCGCGTAACACCGAGCTGAAACCGGCGCATAATTTGAAAGCGGTTCCCCGCTGATGACAGAGAGGAGACTGCGTTTCCCCGATTCCACAGCCGCGTCTGTTGTTTCCACACACGACGAAATAACACGGTTTTCTCCGCCGAACGCGACCGTGAACACAACCATTCAAACCAGAAGCGCTTAAAGTTCCCCCCCGGCCGCGGGGACCCGTGCGGGGGGCGCTTACCTGTGAGGGGCAGAGAGCGCGAGTCGTGAGAAATGTTTCGCTTCTTTCTATTTTCTTCTTCGTATCCACAATGGGAAGCAGCGTCCAGCGGGAAAATGGCCGCCGCGTCAATCACCGGCCCCACAATGCAACAGTGTTCACAACATATGAATGTGGTCGGGTTTCTGTGAATGAGCCGCTCAGCTCAGGTTGAACAGGACCGAGGTTAAGTTTTATTATTTTAAAAAACTATTTGCTGAACATCGTGAGCAGCTCCCTGGAAAATACTCAGCTTTATTTATTTATTTATTTTTGCTTCCTGCTTTCAATACGACACTGACCCTTCAGACTTAAACCGAAAGTAATAAGTTACCCAAAACTTTTTTGGTGCGTCAGAGACGGTTTGAAATAATAAAAATGTGTTGCTGTAAGTTTCTGTAGCAGAAAAATGACGAGACTGTCAGAGAGCCACGATTATTACAAGTAGATAAGGATTTATTTTAAATTGTATTTGTGTCTTTATATCTTTTAAACGATCTCTTTCAAATTGATCTTTTTTTTTTCCCAGCTAAAAATAGACATTATTCATAATTTACAAACAAAACCTGCAATTAAATCATTAGACTTAATTTCACTAAATTATGAGTCCAGTGCATAAAAGTGCATCATTTCATTCATCTGTTTACAGCCTAATTTAATAGCACACAGTCCTTTATCCCCATTTCTCCCATTCTTCTATGGTCACTTTATATTTTTAATATAGTTTATAGTTGTATAAAACATTTTTATTTCTATAGTTACCTTCTAGTTTTTGTATAGACGATTAGCACGGGTTAACTTAACACAGTTCTATATGTATTTATGCACATTTTCTGCACATATTTAATATTCCTGCACATTTTTAATTCCTCTGTATATATTGAAATCCTATGCAAATGTTTAATTTCTCTGTAAAAGTTTAATTTTGCTTCAATTGTGTAATTCATTTTAATTTAATTTCCTTAATTCCTCTGTACACATTTAAATTTACATTCATCTCAGGCCCATTTCTACGTATGGTTACTGTCTTATAAGTTAACTCTCATGCATAAGTCAAGTCTAATGTATGTTCAATGTATGTTACCGCACTGAATGCTTGAATTTCCTTCGGGATCAATAAAGTATCTATCTATCTAAAAATACTACTTATCAGATTAATGAAATAAAAAACGGTAACTAACATGACTGTAATGCTTATTTTAAAATGTTATTCACTCCATGGGTTGTAACGGCCTCTTTAGCAGAATTTGTTCTCTGTGTAAGAATAGAAGTTTATACAATACACGCACAAGACTGAGTAAGAACTGCGACTATATTTCTTAAAATGTATTTATTAATTTGCCAATTCTTGACGAACTGTTTCTAACATGATTCTGTGAAAATCCTCATCAATATTTTCTTGACTCCAAAGTGACAAGATGTAGATTCTCTCATACAGCTCATTTAACCACAAGTATGTTTATTATGTTTGTAAGTGAATTCCAAGATACAAATATTTTTGCCTTTAAAAATGACTGAAAACGTAAATCAAACACACAGTAGAAAAAAAGGTTACCATATCAACCTGAGAGAGGAACCAAAAGTCAAAACATTACCTGGACATAACAAAATGGCTGAAAATTAAAACATGATCAACAAAGGTCTGCTACATATATGCCGCTTGTAATCTGTCAAACCATGCAGTGTCATCATAGCACAATGACGTTTCTAACTGACAACCAGAATCAACTTTTCTGTTTTGATACATTAACAAGTAACAGTAGAAATACACCATTATTGTAGAAAAAAAGAGAAATCACTACTTTTACAACAAATTTCTATTCAAATAAATCAAAAAGACCCATTATATCAATGTATGTGTCCGTCTAAAGATGAGAATGTCTCTAATTTGCAATGCTTCTTTCATTTTTTACACTAATCTTTGCTTGCAAAAACACCCTTCTCATACAGATAAGAAGGCATTTCTGTGAGCAAGCTAGTGAGAAGTGAGGAGTGTAATTGTGAAGTTTTAAACATTTATGAAGATATCTCAAAGGAAACTCTGCTACTAGTAGCACCAAAGAAGACATGATCACACATTTTACGGTTATCACAATCATATGATATATATAGAACCTCAAACCAAACTACTAAGAATAGAGGAAGGGATGAAAGTGGTGAAGGAACAAGAGGACAGAGCATATAATAAACCAGGAAACATCTTAAGCACGCTCTCCACGGATACGACGTGCCAGCTGGATGTCTTTGGGCATGATGGTGACACGCTTGGCGTGGATGGCGCACAGGTTGGTGTCCTCAAACAGACC